CCGGGCCTACGCCAGCCCCGGGAATCCCACGACCAGGAGTCGTGGCCCCAGGAGCCCCACGACCACCAGTCGTGGCCCCAAGAGTTCCACGATGACCACCGGGTCCAGCTCCTGCTTCTGCCTCTGCTTCTGCTAATGCTGTGCTTGTGCTGGGGTGCCTCTTCCTCCTCCTCGCCCTAGTCCTGGAGCTGCCCCTCATCCTGCAGGCTCGGGGGGTGCCAGTTATACTCCAACGCCAACTAGCAAGTTACATCATGGGCCTCGGGTTGGTGACTAACGCATTTCAGGCTTGGCCTTGGGCGCGATTTCACCAACCCTAGCAGCGCCGGGATGTGCACGAGCTTGTCTGATGGTCTACAGCTGGCATCCCCTCCGCCTGCTCTCACTGCGGCAGAGGCGGCCCGTGGCCATTGGCCGCGCCCGGCGGCTGGCGCCGCGCGTCGCGACGCCGCGCCCCGACCGCCGTTTCTTCAAACGGCGGCGCGGCGCCCTTCCTCTTCCCCTCCTTTTCCGCTCCTCCCCCTCCTCCTCTTCTCCTCCTCTCCTCTGCTCGTTCTTCTCATCCGAGCCTCCTCCTTGGTGTTTCTCCTCTTCCCGGCTTGGTTCTGCTCGTTCTTCTCCTCCTCTTCCATGTGTCTCCCTGACGTTTTCAGTTCTGGCGGACCCGAGTGCTCCAAACACGAACCCTCGGCCATAAGTGGTCGGGCACATTCCGAGCCATGCGGCATGCGACGCGCAGCGCTGCTCACGCCCGACAAACGTTCACACCATCGATAATCGCATCGTTAACATCAAGCTGAAACCCAATGTTTAAACAGCACCTAAGCGTAGAACGGGCACACTCTGTCATGACAGGCAGGGGGGGCGCCCCTGGCTCACCTAGCTGTCTTCTCAGGGGGACGCCCCGCTTCCCATGTATGTACTCATGGTAGCCGCCTCTTACCTCGCGTAGCTTTCTTCTTACATTGATGTACATGTCGCCTACACTCCCTGGTTTCAGGGGGTCCTGTTGGCGTTGCACGACGGTCCGCGACGACAACGACAACGACGGACGACCGACCGATCGACCGCCAAACGGCCCCACCCACGCCACGGCAATTCTCCGACACGCCCCGCAAAGGCATTCCCAGAAAACTCCGACACGATCAAAAAAAACGCGACCTGCAAGACGCCCTGCAGGTCGTCGACGCGCCAGACGTTCAGCCAAAGCTGCGGCTGCCGCGCGCCCCGCATGGACGGGGACCCTGCGCGCGCGCGCAGCAAGACCGAAACTGGCTGCGGAACCTGAGGCAAAGAGGATGGGCGGCCTCACTACGCACCGAGGATGCTACCTCCTTCCTCACCCCTTCCCCCCTTGGGAGGGAATGGGCCTACCTGGCGCCGAATGAACACACCACGGGCCTCATGATGAACAGAAGGCCCCCACAGGGCCTCATGGTGCTGCAAGGAGCCCCCCCAGGGCTTACCAGGAGTCCCAAGGGGTCGGCGGTGCGGCGTAAGCCCATGAATCAGCCTGGGACATATCCCTATCCCTAAGCTGGGCATCGCCTCATCACGATGCCAATCTTAGGGATTCCTTCAGTTTTTGAGGGCGCACCCCTAAGATTGTCATCGCCTTTTGGCGTGTCAATCTTAGGGATAGTGATAAGTTCGAGGCTGGTAAGAGCGGGCCTGCACCGAGACACAAAGCTCGCCGCAGCCACGACGGACGCACGGCGACGAGCCGCCCTCGTGGCCCGACGGAGCCGCGACTCGGACGATGACGGGTGGCCGCTCCAACTAGACCCAACGCTACGAGACTCGGGGGCGGGCAAGAGGGGGGCGTCAAAGAGGGGGGGGGGGCATGTGCGCGGCCCAGGAGGGTGGCCGGGGACGTATTGAAACAAGAGGAGGCGGCGTGAGATCTTGGGAAACAGCATGGCCCCCGCGCCCCCGCCATGATGTCCCCCGCCCCCCTGTCATCACCCCCCTCTCTGCCGCCCCCGAGATGCTGCTCCCCGCCTTCGGCTGGAGGCTGAACTGCAGGCAGGCTGTCCACAGGCGGGGGTGGGGGTGCTGGTGCCTCGGAAGCCTCCGCCGCTGGCTCAGCGGCGTGACCGTCACGCTGGCAAGCGTACGACTCCATCGGGTCAGAGTGGTCTCTAACAAGCCGCCCCCCCGCGGAGCACCCCCCACTCAGGCGGGAGGAGCAGGATGACCCGGGGAAGGTGGAGGAGCGGAACGGAGGGGGGCGACAGCAATGCGGAAGGACTCGGATGCAAAAAGAGGGTCCGCGCTGGAACGAGCGTGCCAGTGCTCCCGGTCCTGGCTGAGATCTGGGGTGCTCACGGTCCTCGCAATCCCTGCAGACCTGCAGACCTTTTCGGCGCCGTCGGCGCGCCGAAGGCGAATTTGGTTGTGGCACGCGTCTAAATCTACAGTTAGGCCGGGCATGTCCACCTGCAGGCGGATTGTGGAGGAAAAACACAAAATAGGCAACATGTTCACAAATGATATAAGGAAAAACGATCGAAGCATCGTCCCCAGACTATTTGATTGGGACTATTTTTGATATATTCCTCCTGTAGAGGGACATGCCCGACTGAAAACTACAGCACGTTCGGCCAAAGGCGCTGTCCACGTCGTACGCCCCCCCCTGCTCGACCCGGTGCCCCCCGACCAAGCACGCGGCCGCCCACCTGACAGCGCCTCCCTCACCGGCACCGCATCGAAAGGTCAGCGCATTGGACTGCATCTCCAGGGGAACGAGCAACGACACATGGAGAAAAACTTACAGGTCCGCGCGGATATCTCGGATCGGCGCTGGAGCCCCCTTCCGGCGCCTCCGGCGCGCCCCTGGCGCGCTCCGCGCGCCAGGGAAGGGGGGTCCAGCGCCGATCCGGGAAATCCGCGCGGACCTCCGAGTTTATATGGTTATGTCATTGCTTGATTCCCGAATCTTGACACGTCGTCCTCAGGACTGCCGTCCGAATCGCTTCGTAAGCCTTGCTCATTGTAACCTCATGGGCGTCCGACGCTTCCAACTCGGATGCTTGAACTCCATGGAACTCCCGCTCCAACGGGGTACGCATCGGACATCGTCTGTCGACGTCCCTGGGCGTGTAGCCGCAAGGGCCAGGCGCATTGTATATCGTATAACATACACGAGGTAGGAGTTCACTCATTTCGTCTGGAAAGCATCGCATAATGTCTGTAGCGAGGATTCCAAACAATGTGTGAACTTACTTATGATTGCCCTCTACGAGTCACTGCCCCATGCGTCCCCGCGGGGCTCCAAATTTCTGGCTGGTGCCAAGAATCCCCCTATGATATTCCACGATCTGGTTATTGAATTCTGGGCCGCAGTCACTGCGCATCACTGCGGGGATGGTGCCAGACCGAGACATACAGATAGCATCAGCAGCAGCAGTATCGTCGTCATCATCATCAGCAGCATGATCATAACCATCATCCTCATTACCAACATCAACATCATCAGCATCATCATCACTCTTACAATCAGCAGCATCATCACCATCTTCATCATCACCGCCACCACCATCACCATCATGATCAACACATCACCACAATCATCCATCATTATCATCGTCATCATCAGAATTATCAGCATCATCATCATCGTCATCATCAGCATTGCCATCATCGTCATCGTCAGCAGCAGCTTCATCACCATCAGCAGCAGCAGCAATATCATCATCGTCATCGTCAGCATCATCATTGTAGTCCTCGTCCTCTTGTTTATCCCTCCCTCCTGCTCCCTTACTCTCAATTGTCATGTCCCCGTCCCTCTTCCCCCCCCTCCCCTCGTCTCCTCATCCTCTTCTCCATACTTCCCTCCTCTCCCTCTCCTTTTGCCCCTCCCGCGTGCGCCTCTGCCTCCTTGTGCCACTTCGTGTGGTCCCTTCCCCGCTCCCTGTCCTTTTGCCTCTCCCCCGAGCATCATGGTTCAGATTACGAGTGTGGGGGATATGGAATTAGGATTCAGATCTCATTGGTCGCTGGGGTTAGTGTTGGGGCGCAGGTGTCAGGGCGAGATTGTTTGGGCTGGGGTCCTGCAGTTGGGGTGTCGAGATTGGAACGTAGCGGTGCGGGTGGTCAGGGCGAGGCTGTTAGGGTTGAGATGTCAGGGTGCGGCACTGCACCGGATCTACTGAAAGCCGATCAACCGATAAACGGACTTTGAAGCCAAGGTCATTGCACCGAAAACCGATAAAACCGATAAAACCGACCCTGAACAAATTATCGCAACAGGACGACACAACAACACCGAAACCAAAGGACTGACGATAAGCGCATCATGAACTGAGAACCCGATGCGCGGACATGGGAACGGGTTTAGTAATTTACCAACTCCTGGGAACATCGACCGATAAACGGGTATACGAGCTTTGTTCCAACGGTCAACCAACCGACGTGCCGATAAATCGAAATAGCTGATCAACTTGTCGGTGTAGAAATGTGTGTTCGGGTCCTACAACTGTTAGGTCATCCAATGTCAAGTCACATGTACATGTATGTGTATACATTTGTAGACAGACATACAAATCTACAAAAATCATGGGTGCGCTTTCCGCGCACTGAAGTTCGGCAAGTCACTCGTGTATCTTTCAATTCCTGCTGCCACCTCCAAACATGCTGGGGCCGTCAGGGGGGTCTTCTGGGGAGGCCTCTTGGAGTTGGTTTCGGCCAACCTTGGGGGACTTTCAGGGACCGCGTGGAGTGGCGAGCCCATCTTGGTCTGCTTGAGGCTCTCGTCGGCTGTCTAGAACCTTTTGAGGGCACCCTATGGGCGCGTCGGAGCCATATCGTCTCGTCGCTGGCCCCTATTCAGCCATCTTGGGTCGCTCTCGGAGCGCTCTTGAGGCGTTGCTTGGGCGACACTGGGGGCCTCCGAAGCTCTCCTTGGCACTGTTGCTACCGAGAGGGCACGTGTGCTAAAGGTGTACAACGAAAAAATGCAGAATCCATGTGTGCTACCTGGTGTGGGTATTCTTAAAGGCCTCATGAAGACAAAGGAGCATGTTTTGCGTACAGTTTCCCTCAAGGCTTGACGCGGTGGCCAAGCTCGGTACCGCACCGAGCAAAAAACAAACTACAACGAGAGGGCGTGCGGCGAGGTGCGACCGCTTCCACGGCTGCCAGGTGCTCGGCCGCGGGGCAGCCGAAGACCCACAGAAGGGAAAAGAGAGTGCAGGGTTGCCAGTCCGCGGGGATTCTGATCGTGGCGCTGGCACTTCTCGTGCGCCTGAAAAGATCATGCATCGTGGCCAGGTCGCGGGAGTTCTCCCGCAGCTCTGGCACGTCCCGCGCCTGCCGAAGAGGCCCTCTGTCAACAGCATGCCGAAAACAAAAAACAATATGCACGTGCTGCAACGCCAGCGGGCGGGGCACGTGCGGCCAGGGAGGGCAGGCGCACGTTCTTCAAAGGAAAACCACATGCGCACATGAACACACACACGTTATAGGTATGTATATATATATATATATATATATATATATATACATTTGTATGTATGAAAGTATACACACATGCGTCAAATGTTCATACACCCCGAAACACTGATGGCCCGAACTACATATGTATACACACGTGGAGCCGTGTTGGGGCGAGCTTTGGGGCATCTGAGGCTATTGTGGGACACGCTTTGAGAGATCCAAAACCTGTTTGGCCAATTCTGGAGGTCTCTAGTGGCGTCTTTGGGGTCTCTTGGGCAATGTGGGCGCCCTCTTGGGGAACTCGGAAACCGTCATGAGGTGAGTTGTAGCGCCTCATGGGCTGTTTTGCAGCGTCGGCGAGGCGAACAGGGGGAAGCACGAAAAAACGTAGAACATCAATAGAAACACACACACACACGAATTGTGCCTCGTGGGGCCTCTTGGGGAGCGCATGGGATACGTCTGGAAGCGTTCTGGGGGTAGTGTGGTCCGTCTGGAAGCAGTCGAGGAACGGCTGGGGGGCGGTGCGGGCCGTGTGGAAGCCAGCATGAGCGCCCGGGAATGAGTTTCAAACGCTTCGGAGCTTTACTCGGTTGTCCTGTACGTCTTTTGGGCCGTCGTTGGTGCGTCGTGAATAGTCTGGACGCCCTCTTGGGGGCCTCTTGTTCGGTCTCGGGGTGAGCTTCTGTGTTTCCGGGGCTGTCTGGGAGCGTCGGCAAGGCGAAAAGAACGAAGCACTGGAAAACTTACCACAAACCTATGGAAAATCAACATGTGCTGGCGCTTGGAGCCCTCCTCGAGGGCGCCTTGGAACCCTCTTGGAGCGATTTGGGGGCGTTGTGGGCTGGTTTGAAGTTCTGGCGGAGCGGAATGGGATCGTGGTGAGCCACCAGGGGGGCGTCACGAGCGTCTGGGGCTGCTGTTGTGAGGGTTCGTTTGCCGTGTTGGGCCATGTTGCTTTCTGGGCCTTCCTGGAGGTCTCTCGGGGCGTCTTTGTGGCCTTTAGGGCCGTGTGCGTGGGGGCCTCTGAAGCCGTCTCGGGGCGAACTGTGGGGCGCAGCCTGAGGCATCCCCTCTAAGAGCCTGGGCAAAACCATGCTGGGAGTCTCTTTGGACGCCTTCGGTGGACGTTCTTGGAAGGTTCTTGGCTCCGATTTTTGTTGGGGGTCTCCCGGTGGCCTCTTGGCACTTTTTGGGGACGCTTTGTGGGCCTCCCCGGGGGCCTTAGCATCTGGGCTCGAAATGTCGGTTTGGACCCCGCTCTTGCCCCTGTCTTGGGGCCGTCTTGAGGGCCTCTTGAGCCGTCTTGGCGGCTCTTGGGCCGTCTTGGCGCTCTCTTGGGTCGCATTCGGGCCGTGGCGGGGACCTCTTGGGCTGCCTTGGTACTGTCTTGGGGACCTCTTTGGTCGTCTGGAGCGTTGGAAATCCGATTAAGCATGAGGGAGGCGGAGAGAGGAAGGCGTGAAGGAGAGACGGGTGGAGGGAGCAGGGAAACTGACGCAGCGAGGAGAAGGGAGGTGAGGAAGGAGAAGGATGTGGAAAGGGAGACTGAGGAGAACCAAGGGCAGGAAAGACAAATCAGGGAGAACGGAGAGCCAGGGATGGGGAAAAGGAGCACGCACTCTGGGGTCCGCCCAAAGCCCAAAGGCCAAAATCATTAAAAACCAAGCGTGAATGGGAAGGAGAAACGGGGAGGAATGAAGATGGAAAAGGACGCAGCGGGAAGGAGGGAAGGGGGAGAGGAAGGAAAAAAGACGTGAAACGGGAGACGCAGGAGAACCACGAGCCAGGAAGAGATCACGGAGAACGAACAGCGAGGGGTGGAAGGTATGGAAACGCAGGCGGGAGGCGGAGAGAGGAAGGCGTGAAGGAGAGGCGAGGAGGAGGGCGGAGGGACAATTCGGCAGCGGGGAGGAGGGAGGATAGAAAAGAAAAGGGTGTGGAACGGGAGACAGAACATAGCAGAACAAAGCAACAAGAGAGAAGGAGAACGGACAACGAAGGATGGTGAAACCAAAAACGCACTCGGGGGCACGCCAAAATCTGGGACAGAAGGAAACGGAAGGGGGGGGGTAGACCCTGAAAACAAATGACTTTAGAGAAGTGCTTTTTTTCAAGCCGGGCCTCCCACCGCATAGTGGAGCAGGATGCTTGGTGAGGGAGGCGGAGGGAGGAAGGAATGAAAGAGGGATGATGATGAGGGCTGGGGAAGACGAAAACGCATGAGGGAGGCGGAGAGAAGACGGCGTGAAGGAGAGACGGGACAATGACGCAGCGAGGGAGGAGGGAGGATGATGGGACGCAGAAGGATGTGGAACGAGAGGCGGGCGAGGAGCGAGAACAAGAGAGAGAACATGGAGAGCGGACAGCGAGGGCTGGGGAAAACGGAAACGCGCTCTGGGGCACGCCAGCGCCTGGGCCAAGAGGGAACGGAGCGGGGTGGGTACAACTCGAAAGGAACGTGGATTTGAGGGAAGTCCCTACATGTTTCAAGTTGGCACTGGAAACCCCCAAGAGCACCGAAGACAGATCCAGAGGTTCGGGTTCCTCGAGCCCGTAGAAGCATGATGCAAATTGCGGATCTTACGAGGAGGGACGAGGGAGGTACGCAGGATGCGGGGCTGTTCGAGCGAGGAGGAGGAGGAGGAAGAGGAGGAGGAAGAGGAGGAGGAAGAGGAGGAGGAGGAGGGAGAGGGACCGGAGGACGACGAGAAGGCTGAAATTGGCGAATCCTGTCAGCGCCATCTTGGGTCAGATTGAGGCCTACTGAGGCTACCTGGACCGAAGACGCCGCCGACTTGTTTACTCGAACCATGGCGTGGGGGCTCGTGCTCCCGATGTCATGCTGCGGGCGCCGGCGAAAGAAGATGATATTAGTGTGGCCACGATGTTGGCAAGGTTCGTATCCATATCCAGTGCGTCTTGGGTTTTTTGGGAAGGAGCGTCACAAGGCCGAGGCGCACTGGATGTGGATAAACATCGAGCCTCTAGGGGGCAAGTTTATCCATATCCAGCGCGCCTCTGGTTTCTGGGGAAGGGAACCCGAAACTCCATATCGCAATGGACATGGACAGAAGTATTGCCCGCACACGAGCGGGGCGACCGTATACGCTCGGCCTGGAGCGTGCTGTACAGCAGCTCAGTCTCTGATCACATCAGGGCAGACCTTGCACACACTGTTCAAGAATGGGCTTCTGACTTTTGTATACGTCTGTTGTCCACCAAGTCTCTGCAATCCGCCACCGTGCCCCCCTGGCACGTTGAGGCGTGCGAGAATGCCAAGTGCTGCCTGGACGGGTTTCCGTAGTCTTTTGAGGCCCCCCCCTCTACCAACGCTTCGCCGCATGAACCTGTCCTCATCCCGAGAACCCCTTCCCTCGTAAAAAACAAAGATTCCGTCCTCCCGAGGCCACGATCGTTCGCAAAACCGATGAATCCGCGCCGTCGACGCCAAGATGGTCCACGGTGCCTCCAAGGCGGCCCAAGATGGCCTCTAAGACTGTCACCAACATGGCACCAGGACCGCCCAGGAGGCCTCCAAGACAGCCCAAGAGGATTCCAAGGCAAGATGGCCCCACGACGGCCCAAGAGGGCCTCAAGATAGCCCAAAAGACATACAAGGCGGCCTCAAGCCAGCCCAAGAGGACCTCTGGAGAGCCCAAGATGGACCCAAGAGGACCGCAAGCTGGCCCTAACGGGCCTCCACAGGGACCCAAGACGACCGACGATGACCCCATGGGCGGCCCAAGGCGGCCCCGCGGAGGCCCCACAAATCCCTCCAGGAGGACTACAAAGGCTCCAAGAGAGCCCCAAGACGGCTCAAGAGGGCCTCAAGATGGCCCGAGAGGGCCCGAAGGGACCCCTAAGACTGCCCCTGGGGAGCTCAGGACAGCCAAATGACGGACCTGATGAGGTCCATGTGGCCCCTGCAGAATGTGGCCCCTGCCAACGTGAAGTCGACAGGTCTCACATGTGACGCCGTTCCTCGTCGTCCTCCTCCTCCTCCTCCTCCTCCTCCTCCTCCTCCTCCTCCCCCTCATCATTACCACCATCCTCGTCCTCGTCCTCCTCATGATCATCATCACCATCATCAGCACCACCACCACCACCACACCACCAACACCATCACCATCACCATCACCGTCAACATCATCAGCATCATCATCATCAGCATCAGCCTTCTCATCATACTTATCATCATAATCATGATAATCATCATCCGCATCCTCATCATAATCATAATCAACATATGTAATCATCATCATCATGGTCGTCGTCATCATCGTCATCATCGTCGTCATCATCATCGTCGTCCTTGTCGTCGTCGTCATCATGTGATTTATCCCACGTCCGCCACAATTCTCCTCCTCCTCCTGCCCCATCATCCACCTCGTCCTCACAGGGTCATCATCACCATCATAATCGTCGTCGTCATCATCATCGTCATCATCGTCATCATCATCGTCGTCCTTGTCGTCGTCGTCATCATGTGATGTATCCCACGTCCGCCACAATCCTCCTCCTCCTCCTCCTGTCCCATCATCCACCTCGTCCGCACAGGGTCATCATCATCATCATCATCATCATCATCATCATCATCATCATCATCATCATCATTGTCAGCGTTATCCTCCTCATCGATTCGATCAGCTGCCACCAAGAATGCTATGGCTGACACGGAGGCGGAACTTGCTGCAAGCAGCGGGATGATGTTGTCTCCAATGCGACGTCCACAATTGAAATGAAGGATGCCAACGAGAAAGTGATGACACCCGTCGTAAAATGCGTGGCACATTTCCATGTTCCACCCATAATCAATCGGGTGAAGACCCTGCGGTCTTGCATTAGAGTCTGTCTCGTTGCTAAGCTTCATGAGAGCAGCATGCATGAGGTCTTGGTCTGCCCATCTTAAAACCATGTATCCATTGTCGAATTGCGACCCACCAATCCGAAGCGAATCAAAAACGTTCCCCATTGCCTCTGCCCATCCACGTTCACGCATTTTTTGGAAGTCCTGCAACACAACGCCAGTATTAATTCTGTCTCCAAAATCCATGAATGGCCGCCAAGTTGCCCCAACCAGTTCTTTAGAGTCGAAACGGCCAATTTGCATATACAGATCTACCAGCGACTGTGCTGCAAAGACGTCTGTGTCGATGAGAACGCATCTGTTCACAGAGGAAAAGATATCATAGGCAAAAGACTTCGAGACTGCAGCGACCCCGTAGCCATTCGAAAGTTTGACTTTCATATTATCAAGTTCCTTCAGTATGGCAACCTCGTCTAGAATGTACAACTCGTACGAATGAAAACCATTTCTTTCTAACACATCGGCCAACAAAGCCTGGGAGCCCGAATCCGTAACACAATGAAAAGCATCCGCCACCGTGCCTTCAGCACGTAGTGGAGTGTCCCAAGGCTCATACAATTCTACGAGCAACTGGCTCTATTTCCTCATGTTCTTAAGGGCCCCAGCCCCCGGTTTCCTGGGTGCCGCCGGGGATGTACGGGTGCTCATGGGGTGTGTCGCGTGAGCCCTCTGGAAACTGAGCCTGTCCAAAATAGCCTCCCGAACCCCGGAGAGTGCCTCCAGAAGCGCCTCGGATGGTCCAAGAGGGCCCCTGATCGGCCCCAAATCTCCAAGACGCTGCGATGGCTTCAAGACGGCCCAAGCGGCTCTCAAACCGCCCCAAGAGGGCTCCAACAGGATCGCCAAGAGAAGGCCCCAAGACGCCCAAATCATCGATTCCATTTTTAGTTGTTGCGCGATTTGGGCGTCCTCGACTGTCTTTTCCGGGGTCTGGCGCAGCACCACGACCGGAGGGGCTCCCCAGAGGGCCCAAGAGGCCCCTGGAGAGGCCCCAAAGACAGCCCAAGAGGGCGCCAAGACGGCCCAAAAGGGCGCCAAGCGAGACGGCCCAGGAAGTCCCCAAAGACAGGCTCAGCAGGCTGCCCCCCGACCCTCCGAGAGTGGCCCAAGAGGCGCCTCAGATGGTCCAAGAGAGCCCGGGAGCGGCCCAAGAACGCTCCGCAATGCTCAAGGGAGCCTCAAGACGGCCCAGGAGGCTCCCAAAAGCCCCGGGAGAGCTTCTAAGAGGACCGCCAAGAGGGCCCCAGAAGCGAATGCCATCGGTCCCCCATGGAGTTTGCGAGATTTTAGCGTTCTCGCCTTTTCGGGCTACCAGCGCTCCAGCACGGCCCAAAAAGCCCCAAACATCTGCCCAAGACGGCCCAAGAGGCCCCCAAGACGGCCCAAGACACCCCCAAGAGGCCCCGAAACGGCCCAAGAGTGCGCCAAGACAGCCCAAGAGTTTCAACCCCCTGAGAATGTCCCAGGAAGCGCCTCACATGGTCTAAGAGCGCCTGGCGCTCCAAAATACTCAAGAGAGCCCCGAGACGACCCAAGAGGCTCCCAAGAGGCCCCAAGAGGGTCCCAGGAGGGCACCGAGATGCCAACCTTCTTGTCCAGTGCGTTGTGGTTTTGAAAGATGTTAGTGCTCTCGCCTGTTTTGGCCTTCGACGCTCCAGCGCGGCACGAGAGGCCCCCCAAGATCGCCCCGAGACGTCGCCCCGAGACGTCGCCCCGAGACGGCCAAAGAGGCCCCAAAGAGCGCCCACAGGCGGGGCCCAAAGACGGCCCAAGAGGCCCCCAAAACGGCCCGGTGGGGCCCTAAGGAGGCCCAAGAGAGACCCCAATGGCAGGACCACGAACCGACATTTCCAAACCCTTCGCACCAAGATAGCCCCCGAGACCACCAGCAGGCCCCCAAGTGCCCCCCCCCCACAAGCTCCAGGAGGCCCCCCAACAGCACAAATCATGCCCCAACAGGCCCCCAACAGACCCCCGAGAGGCCCTCAAAACTCCCCAAAACCGAATCAAAGAGGCTTGCGAGAGGCCCCCCAAAGAGATAAGCAGCCATCACAAAAGCCTCTGGCCTATAACCCAGGAGCGGTGGCGGGATGGGCCGGCGGCCACTCCATCCGTCGCCCCCTGTCGATTCGTCGCAGGGGTGCCTGGCGTGCTGAATCCTCTCGGTTTTGAATTCGGTTCTTTTTCAAATAGAACTCCCCCCGGCGCTTCGGCCCGTCCCGCCGGCCACTGCCCAGAGCCCAAAATCCTAAGTTTTTCTTCCAAGACGGCTGAAGATGGCCTCCAAGATGGCAACGTGGACCCAATCTGGCCCCCAAGATGGTCCAAGATGGCCTCCAAGTCTGCCAAAGAGAGGAGGAGATGCCTCCAAGCCCGCCCAACAAACCTCCAAGACGGCCCAAGACGGCCCAACAGGTGGCCAAGAGGCCTTCAAAACAGCCCACGAGGCCTCCAAGAGGGCCTCCAGAAAAAGGCAAAAAAAGGCCAAAGTCACCGATTTCCCTTAGCAAGATTTTGGCATGTGCTTCTTCTCGGCCTCTCGACGGCCCGATACGGCCCAAGAGCTCCCAAAGGTCGCCCAAAAGGCCTCCAAGATGGCCTCAGAACGGCCCAAAAGGCCCCCAAGACGGCCCCAACAGGCCCCCAACCCGGCCCAGGAGGCCTTTAAGACGCCCGAGATGGCCTCCAAGACGGCCCTGAAGCATTCCAAGAGGGCCACAAGTCGGCCCCTAGGGGCCCCCCAAACAGCTTCCGACGGCGTCAGACGGACCAGGAACCCACCACAACGGCCGAAGATGGCCGTAAAATGGCCCTGGACGGCCCAAGAGGCTTCCCCCACGAAGAGCCGAAAAGGCTCAAATCATTGATTCCCCATTAATTTTTTGAAGGATTGTGGCATTTGTTGTTTTTCTGCCTTGAGACGGCCTGGAATGGCCCAAGTGCCCCCAAGGATCGCCCAAGAGGCCCAAGACGGTCCCAAGAGGCCCCCAAGACGGCCCAAGAGGCCTCCAATACGCTCAATATGGCCTCCAAGACGACCCAAGAGCCCTCCAAGACGTCCTCCAAGAAGGCCCGAAAGGGTCATAATGGCCTTCACACGGCCAAGATGACCTTCAAGATGCCCACGTGTTCTCCGAAGGCTTCCCAAACCGACTCGGGGAACGCATGGTCGGATAGTTTGGCAGGTCTGGCCTCAACGTTCGGCCACATAGGCGCGTCCAAAAAAAACAGAGGGCGGCTGTGATTCGCCGCAGGCGTCTTCGATCCGCCGCCCCCTGTTGATTTGTCACACGGGTTCCTGGCGTGCTCAATGTCTAACAATGTTTGTGTGTTTTTTTAAGACTGCCCCTGGGGCTTCGGCCCAGCACGCCGGCCACCCAGAAAATTACGTTACCGAGAAGCCCCACATACTTATATCATGGTTGGAATGATGATAGCTGAAGTGAAGCATGTGAGAATAATGTTGGTGGCCATTCCCTGCGCACCCCCTATGGTGTCGAGAAAGTGCATGTACCTGACCAAGCACAGCCTCCTTGCATCGTCGTCGCCTGGCTGATACCTGGCGAGGAGCGCCCCAGGCCACCAATTCAGAAGCTGTCGCTGGTAAACATGAAACGCGCTGTGTACCAAAACGTTCCCAGGCCTGACAACATACGCGCGCAAACCATCTAGGTTCACCCCGGCACCCATCTCTTACATTGTGTTCTTGAGCTGCTCGCACAAAAGGTGGCAACGCGGTGATGGCGCATTTGGGTGCCACGACAGGGAGCTTACCTTTGACGGACAATCACTGGCGGACGACAACTTTCAACGATCCAGCTGCGTGAACCGGAATGAGCCAGGATGGCTACAGCTCTTGATGATGATGATGATGATGCGGATTATGATGATGATGCTGATGATGCTGATGATGGTGATCATGATAGCGCCCCCCCAGGCTTGTGCACCCTTGTCCTCCTGAAAATGCCGTTCGCCCTACACTCTGAGAGAACCCACCCCCTGCGCACTCCCTCTGGCGTCGAGAGAATGCCACGCCTGCTATGCCCTGGACGAGAGGCGCGCATAGCGGCCGCGGTGAAAGACCAACCCCTGCGCACCCCCTCTGGTGTCGAGAGCGTGCCACGCCTGCTGTGTCCTGGACGAGAGGCGCGCATAGCGGCCGCGGTGAGAGACCACCCCCTGCGCACCCCCTTCTGGTGTCGAGAAGGTGCCACGCCTGCTACGCACTGGACGAGAGGCGCGCATAGCGGCCGCGGTGAAAGACCACCCCCTGCGCACCCCCTCTGGTGTCGAGAACATGCCACGCCTGCTGTGCCTGGACGAGAGGCGCGCATAGCGGCCGCGGCGCGGTGAGAGACCACCCCCTGCGCACACCCTCTGGTGTCGAGAGGGTGCCACGCCTGCTACGCACTGGACGAGAGGCGCGCATAGCGGCCGCGGCGAGACCACTCCCTGCACACCCCCTCTGGTTTTGAGAAAGTGCCACGCCTGCTGTGCCTGGACGAGAGGCGCGCATAGCGGCCGCGGTGAAAGACCACGCGCCCGCTCTAGTGTCGAGAGAGTGCCACGCCTGCTACGCACTGGGCGAGGGGCGCGCATGGCGGCCGCGGTGAGAGACCACCCCCTGCGCACCCCCTTCTGCGCCTGCTACGCACTGGGCGAGAGGCGCGCGTAGCGGCCGCGGTGAGAGACCACCCCCTGCGCACCCCCTCTGGTGTCGAGAAGGTGTCACGCCTGCTACGCCCTGGACGAGAGGCGCGCATAGCGGCCGCGGTGAGAGACCACCCCCTGCGCACCCCCTCTGGTGTCGAGAACATGCCACGCCTGCTGTGCCTGGACGAGAGGCGCGCATAGCGGCCGCGGTGAGAGACCACCCCCTGCGCACCCCCTCTGGTGTCGAAAACATGCAACGCCTGCTACGCACTGGACGAGAGGCGCGCATGGCGGCCGCGGTGAGAGACCATCCCCTGCGCACCCCCCCTGGTGTCGAGAAAGTGCCACGCCTGCTGCGCCTGGACGAAAGGCGCGCATAGCGGCCGCGGTGAGAGACCACTCCCTGCGCACCCCCTCTGGTGCCGAGAGAGTGTCACGCCTGCTACGCCCGGACGAGAGGCGCGCATAGCGGCCGCGGCGAGAGACCACTCCCTGCGCACCCCCTTCTGGCGTCGAGAAAGTGCCGCGCCTGCTGTGCCTGGACGAGGGGAGCGCATGGCGGCCGCGGTGACAGACCACCCCCTGCGCACCCCCTCTGGTGTCGAAAGAGTGCCACGCCCGCTATGCCCTGGACGAGGGGCACGCATAGCGGCCGCGGTGAGAGACCACCCCTTGCGCACCCCCTGTGGTGCCGAAGGAGTGCCACGCCTGCGATGCCTTGGACGAGAGGCGCGCATAGCGGCCGCGGTGAGAGACCACCCCCTGCGCACCCCTTTCTGGTGTCGAGAGAGTGCCACGCCTGCTATGCCCTGGACGAGAGGCGCGCATAGCTGCCGCGGTGAGAGACCACCCCCTGCG